TGGCAGGACCGGACTCCGCCCACAGTTTGGCCAGAAATTCATAACTCCTTCAGGGGGCGGGGCTTGCAGAGAAATGTCAAAATGGACCTAGAGCGACCAAACTTGAAAGAATACAGGAGGCAGGATAGGGACATCGATGGAAGGTTGCAAGGATAAACTCCGCCTTAAAGGGCTGGGCGTGAATAAATACTATTGATTCGGACCCAGACCGTTGAAACTCGAGGACGTAAGGAGTCGGCTGGGAACATTGATGGTAGCTAACATAGTAGACTCAGCCGCGATGGAGTATCTGAATACTTTTTTTTCTGAATAATCGCATTTGTGATGTTATACGATGTTCTATCTGGACACAGCGAAGATGGCTTACAGAAAAAATCGCTCCTGATTCGGAGCTAATACTGAGGGTGTAGAGCTTTCAAAGAAAAAGGAGAATCCGAAGTGTTATTTACGCATAGCAAATTTCTCACAGGAAGGAGGAGCGCCCGGCGTAGCCGGGCGAACCCATGAGAAGGAGGGAAGCCCGGCGTTAGCCGCGCGGCCCGACTGGTTCTCTGATAAAGCTTATTCTCTTTTCTAATACACTAATCACACACCCTTGCCCAAACTCAAGTGCTCGTTCGTACACTCTAAAACTAGCCTCCAGCCCTATGTAGATCATATGGAAGTGGCGGAGTGATACCCAGAAGGGGTTGTCATAGCCTAGGTGCCCTACACTTTTCCTCTTTGAGTGCTGCCTGCTGCAACAAAGTACAATGACTTCATTTCTATATGGCTGTACCTCCACCCAAATTGAATTTTCTGTCTATTCGTTCTCTTCCACAGGAGACTGATGATGAGCTTCGAAGGTAGGAGTAGAGAACATCCATTATATATGATTCAAAGAAACCCTTCCTTAACTTTTTAGAGCAAAAATGTGGAGCCCCTTGATTACGATGCCTTCTCTCCCGACTCCTCCAACGTTTCTGCCTACCCTCACTCTCTTGCAAAAGAACTGTTGTCCTTGTTTCCCAATGTGTAACCATTTTGCCTTTGTATGAGTTTGACTCGCGGTAGGTGATTTGATAAATCATTGCATTTTAGCAAGAAGCTGTTTAAAGAAGAGGAGAAACTTTATGGTACTTTGAGGAAACTGTGACGTAACAAGGACGTTGAATGGCTGCTTTCATAGTCCGCCGGCACGCACGCCGGCAAAGCTATTGGCTGCTTTCATAGTATGAAAGCAGCCAATAGCTTTGCCTTGGTGTGATGTTATTATAGTTAATCCTTTGTTATTCAGTTGGCATTTTTCTCTCCTAATTTCTTCAGGGATAATAAACTATTCATGTTTACCGGAGTTTTTGTCTCTTGTGTACGAGTATTTATTGTATATGCGTCCACTCGAAAATGACTTTTATGTCATCACATAAGAGACATCGCACACCGCTCCAGAATGTCTGATGAAATTTGCTCGGAAGCATGGGTGATCGGTATCCATGCTTATTCGGCATTCGTCTATACATTGGTTGTTATTGTGTTCAGTATTGCTCTTTACGCACAGTCATGTCTTCGACGAGTTTTTCATCCATTTTTCACGTAGGTTTAAGAAATTTCCCATAAACTTTCCACCTCAATTTTATTCATTTTCTTCTTTTTTTGACTGAGCTTCAGCGTTACGGTCTACAGCTCGGAGGAAAGCTAGATGTAGCTTCATTGCCACCGAATCCAATGGAAAAATTCCCAAGAAAAACGAAGTTGAAGTGCATACAGGATTCCTGCTTCAATTCATTCATTAGAGAAGAGAAATTTCCCAAAGAGCTCGAAGACGTAAGAACGACGTGGATTGCATCCCTACGTTGATTTGATCCCCATTCATTTGATGATGATGATTTTGTTTTCTGAAATCCTTCCTTTGAATAGACTCTAATTGAGAGTTGTAACGGCTTTTTAATGTTGGCTATCATAATGGCTTGTGAATGCCAACTCATCTGCATTTTCAGTATTAGTTTAATTAGTATGCATATTACCTGTATGTTTTCACGAATTCTTCAATGGCTTCCTATGCAAAGCCATGAAACATTCAAGAAAGCATACAGATTCTGAGCATTTTACCCGCCAGTAATCACCTACGTTGGCGTCATTCGTACAAACTTCATAGCAGGTGTTCAATGCTAAGTTGAGCTGGAAAGCAATCAAAACTTAATTATTATAATTATGCGTACTTATATCGGCAAAATATATGTCTCACCTGCTATGTACAAGTAGGGAAGGTCTGCATTGTGCTTCACTGGATAATGTCATGTGAAAAAAAACTGAATCTTTATTTGTTAATGGCACAGTCCATGATGATTTTTAGTGAATAGCGAAAGTGTTGAAGTAGAATAGTGAATCGCTGGTGAAGGAAAAAAAGAGAAAATCCGCAGTGCTAGCAAAATATGGTTTCTCGAAACTAGATGAAGTAGGAGTTTGTTCAAAATTATGGTGTCGGAACTGATATCGAATCTGTAATTGGACGGGATTTTAGCCGTGTGCAATTGGGTGAAGGGCTAGCTGCAGTAAGTGAGCACAGGCGAAAATTTCTCAGCCCAATTTGATTTATAAGTGGGGATTGGTACTGCTGTAGAACTAGTAAACCTAGTAAGATCATCATCCGCAAAAGGAAACGAAGAAAAGAATGTTATATAACAAAATTAAAACACATACTGAGCGACCATACTTTCTTAATAGACCATTTTAGACTGCTCAAAACTTGTACTTCTTCTGAACAACACAAAAGGCATGATCGTGTAAAATAGGTCTAAATGGTTTTTGAGGCCCCATCAGCGGAATATAGGTATGCAGAAAACAATCCAGAGATCGACAGAGGTGATTTAGCGAATGCTGCTTCCTGTCTGCGAACCAAAAACAGATTATGCGCTCTTCAGTCTATCTCCCCAACATTCCTTTGAGCAGCTTTTCGAGAAAATTTTATTTTTTGTCTCGAACGTATGGCTTGATGAGAATGGTCCGAGTGATAACCAACATTGCAAGAAGAACGAAGGCCTACAAATCTAATCGGGGGCTAACGACTGGTGTCTCATAATATATTACAATTGTTTAGCCGGTGAACACTGCCATGCTGAAATATTAATCCTCTCATTCGAAGAGAAGTTTCTATAGTTATTCATTACGAAAGAAACAGGATCAAAGTTTATAAAATTTCAGATTGCTTTTCGTAGAAACAATTTTGTGCTATGCATTATGTGACCTGTTTGTGGTCATCTTGAAGATTATGAACTTCTTCGGAGCATTAGAGCATCCAGCCGCCGTCTTTTTGGACAAGCTGTTTCACTACAGCTATACCCTTATTATGCCCCTACAGTCGTGCTGCCTAGTGGAGAGGATTGTCGCCACGTTGTACTTCAATTCATATGAAAAAAATAGACGATGGGCTCTTTTGGCCTTATCTCAACCATTATCTATTGCATTCCTTCTACTAGACAATTATGCTGGAAAAGGTTTGTATAAATACTGAAGTAATGTTAGGCCCCCTAGCGTATGTTCGGCGTCCATCTATGGCTGTGTAAGCCTAAAAATGCTCTCCTGATTATGAGTCACATGAAGGAGGGTTGGATCACACATTGAATCGGTGTTTTGATCTAAAAGTGGAACTGCAAACGTAAAGCCGTTATCAGGAGTGGGTGGGGGCCCTTAAGTCAGAGGCAGAAAGTATTAGACGCATTAGTGATGGCCTAGTTGGACAGCTCGCTTTCGCGGAATGAGCCACATTTCCACCTAAAAACGAATTGCTTGTTAACATCAATGCTTGTCCATTTGATGATTTGTCATTGTTATAGAAATAAGCGACCTGCAACTGGCAGTGTTTCATGTCGCATATTACGTTTTTCAAACGTTGGTGAGTAGCTTTTTATCGTCTCTCAGAGTTACATCAGACTTCATGCAGCATCATAGGGTCTTGTCGCTCTACTCACTGTCAATCAGCAGCTGACAAGGAAATACACAGGAAGCGGTGTCTCTCTAACTACTAGATATCAACTCGCAGAAAATATCCGAACAATAAGGTACGTGAAGAATTAGAACAGCTCTAATATCAGCCAAGACGCTGCGCTTTTCATTCTTTTGCGTAGCAATTGGACTAGCTGAATGGGCTTTCTTGCTCAGAGAAGAATTTGTGGAGGCGTTCGGTAATGCAGTGACGCTCTTGCCTCTCGAACTGAGAGTCTAAGTTTCAGTAGGTTCATAAAGATGACGATGACGATCGGATGCCATGTGAAGGCTTTCCTAGAAGAATTGATCCATACACCCTACAAAATTACAGGATCCCCAAGCGAGCTATAAGGCTGACTCGAAACGGATTTGGGAACAAAATCAAGTGCTACTGCATGAAAGTCCAGCATATTATAACATTGCTCAGTCAACCACATTCGACCGCAAAATACCAGCTTCTTCAGTTCCTTTGTTCAGGGTATTTCTGCCGATGATTACTGTCGACACACTTATCTCTCTTATCGACATCATTTTAAATTACATGAAGTTTAGCTATGTTTTCGACCCACATCGCTGTACGTCTGATTCATCGTACTTGTTTGTGATCTACATTGTCTCCGAAGTGGTGAGATGACTACTTCTTTCACTGAATCTCTTGTCAGAGTGCACATTTGCAGGTAGTATCAGCTCTTGAACTGATCGAAGCGGCCCTTATTGTTCGTAGTTATCCGAAAGTTGGGAATATTCTTGTATGTTGGAAGTTAATGGCGGTTCATCGGGTTTCTTCAGAAGGTATGGATTCTTGGGATAGCTTCGCCTCTGCTTCTGTTATACTGCCGGATATTTTTAGTGCTATACCTCATAGTCGTGACTTCTTCCTCCATGTTAGAACCTTCAAGAGCTAGGAAAATCTACTCCTCCAGAGAGACTATGTGCTAGTCGGTGGCGCTACTTCTACCCGAATTTTCACGGCAAGCGGCAGTGGTTCCGCGACAACTACCGCATTCTTTCAGTGGAAATTCAAGACTTTCCTTTCATGGCGCGCGACTGTGCGATAGGGTGCGGCGAGCGCGACGCGATCTTCGGGATTCGTTAAGAATCCATACCCTGTGCAATTCCATGAGAATGCTTCCAGAAAATTATTCTATTTCGAAGTTCTGTTGTAATACTCTCGGTTTTCAGAGTAAAGAAATAAGCGAGTTGTATGCAACACCCCGACTATCCCTAACTCTATCCCTTTGCACCTCTCTGTTGTATTTCGCGCTCTTCTTACTTCACTCGGATTAAAACCACTACCGTCTCGAATTCAGTCGAATTGTACCTACACCTCATTTCGATCTTTACACCTTGCCTAACTTGACAGCTACGTTACTGCTGCTTCCCAAGAATTGCTATAAGGAACCAAAGCTGAGGGCATACTTGAGTTTGAAATTAAGGTTCTATCGTGTTCCATTCAACTAAACCTGTTGTTTCAGGTCCCAGTAGAATAGTCAACGTCTTCGGATCGGACCTCCTCCACGAACAAAAAAACTGTAATCATTTCGACGACTTAAATAAGAATTGGGAACAACGTCAGAAATAACCGCCGACATTGTCACATATGTAGTGGAATATATTTAAAACAAACTACCATACAGTTTTGTTTCGAGTTATCCTCCCATTGCGAATATGTATGTTTCCGAGGCGCTGGGATGTTAACCCAATTTGTTTACAGTTATTCTCTGAATGGTCTATAAA